CATCCATCCATCCACCCATCCCTTCCTCCCTCCATTCTTCCCTGCCTCCATCTATCACTCTGTCCATCCCTCCCTCCATCCATCCAGCCCTCCATGCCATCCACTCATTCCTCCCTCCCTCCCTCTTTCCATCCATCCATCCATCCATCCATCCATCCATTCATTCATTAATCCATCCATCCATCCATCCATCCATCCATCCATCCATCCATCCATCATCCATCCATCCATCCATCCATCCATCCATCCATCCATCCATCATCCATCCATCCATCCATCCATCCATCATCCATCCATCCATCATCCATCCATCCATCCATCCATCCATCATCCATCCATCCATCTATCCATCATCCATCCATCCATCCATCCATCATCCATCCATCCATCATCCATCCATCCATCCATCCATCATCCATCCATCCATCCATCATCCATCCATCCATCCATCCATCCATCCATCATCCATCCATCCATCCATCCATCCATCCATCCATCCATCCATCCATCCATCCATCCATCCATCATCCATCCATCCATCCATCCATCCATCCATCCATCCATCCATCCATCCATCCATCATCCATCCATCCATCCATCCATCCATCCATCATCCATCATCCATCCATCCATCCATCCATCCATCATCCATCCATCCCTCCATCCATCCATCCATCCATCCATCCCACCATCCATCCATCCATCATCCATCCATCCATCCATCCATCCATCCATCATCCATCCATCCATCCATCCATCATCCATCCATCCATCCATCCATCCATCCATCCATCCATCATCCATCCATCCATCCATCCATCCATCCATCCACCCATCCATCCATCCATCCATCCATCATCCATCCATCCATCCATCCATCCATCCATCCATCCATCCATCCATCATCCATCCATCCATCCATCCATCATCCATCCATCCATCCATCCATCCATCCATCCATCCATCCATCCATCCATCCATCCATCCATCCATCATCCATCCATCCATCCATCCATCATCCATCCATCCATCCATCCATCATCCATCCATCCATCCATCCATCCATCCATCCATCATCCATCCATCCATCCATCCATCCATCCATCCATCCATCCATCCATCCATCCATCATCCATCCATCCACCCATCCATCCATCCATCCATCCATCATCCATCCATCCATCCATCCATCATCCATCCATCCATCCATCCATCCATCCATCCATCCATCCATCCATTCATTAATCCATCCATCCATCCATCCATCCATCCATCCATCCATCCATCCATCCATCCATCAATCCATCCATCCATCCATCATCCATCCATCCATCATCCATCCATCCATCCATCCATCCATCCACCCATCCATCCCTGTCTCCTTCCTCTGTCCCTCCTTCCATCCCTCCCATGTGCTCTGACCGCTCGGAACGTCTCCCTGCAGCTGCGGTACTATGACAGCCGGATGGACACGGAGTGCAAAGGAGTCATTGACCTGGCCGAGGTGGAGTCCATCACCCCAGGGACCCCCACCATGGGGGCACCCAAGACGGTGGATGAGAAAGCCTTCTTCGATGTGAGTGTGCTGCTGGGCTGCAGTGTGCGGTGCCCCAGTGCTAGGTCTGCGGTGCCCCAGTGCTGGGTCTGCAGTGCCCCGTCCCCCCCTCACCTCCGGCCTCCTCCCTTGCAGCTGAAGACGACGAAGCGCGTTTACAACTTCTGTGCCCAGGACGTGCCGGGGGCGCAGCAATGGATCGACCGCATCCAGAGCTGTTTGTCGGACGCGTGAGCGCAGGAGCCCCTCTCCGGGCTCGGGGTCCGGGCCCGCGGAGCAGCGGCAGCGCTGGAGCCGGGGCTGGGATCAGCTGCGGGTGAGGCCCTGGCCTCGGGCGGCCGCGGGGCTGGAGCCGCGGCTCCGCGCTGGGAGGCACTGGTGGAGGATCCCGACGCGTTGAAGCAGGCCCGGGATGAGCCGGGACGAGCTGGGATGAGCAGGAGCTGCTCCGGCTCTGTCCCACCCAGGCCTGTCTGAGCCCTGTAATTATTGTGTCCCCTCCGCACCCCACTGCAGCCCCTGCACTGCTGGAGGAGCAGGAGCTGCCCTCCTCGCCCTCCCCATGGCTTGCATGTCCACCGAGCACCCAGGGGGACCAGCCCTGCTCCCCATGTCTCGTAGTGCAGCACCCACCCCGCTCCCACCTTGCTGGGCCCAGGGACCTGCCGCTCAGGTGCTGGTGTTGGTGGGGGTGACGCGTTGAGCACAGGGATGCGGTGTCCCCTGGGCACTGCAGGCAGAGGGTCCCAGTCTTGCACCGTGGCTGGTGGTGGTTGGGGCTCTGGGATGTGGCCGTGGCCGTGGCTGTGTCCCTGCTGGGCACAGTCTCCCCACGATCAGGTTTGCTGTTGTGGGGGGCACATTCCCCACGGGAGGTGCCAGCCCTGTTGCATTGCGTGGAGGGGGGGAACCAGCCCTGGCCCTGGGGTCCCTGTGCCCAAGGGACCCCTCCAGCAGCAGCACCGGGGCTGGGACGGTCACCCCAGTCCCTGTGGCGCGGGCTGGTGCCACCCGGGCTCTTTGCACAGGTCAAACCCCCCCGAACCGCCCCGGGTGGCACCGCTCAGCGCTGCCCCGTGTACCCCGCACCGCCTCGGGGCCCTCCCTCTTGTCCCCCCGTGTTTGTGCTGTTGGGGGGCGCTGAGCGGAGCGGGGCTGCCCTGCTCCCACCCCAGTGCAGAGGGGATCTCGGTACAAGCGGCTCCTGCAGCATCTCTGCCCCGCACTGGTGTGACCGCTGGAGGGGGCTTGGCTCACCCACAGGGGTCCCTGCCCCCCCCCCCCCAGCTCGTTCCTGTCTGTTTTTACGAGTACAATGTTTTATTTCAGTGCAGAGCTCCGTGTACAGCCCCTCCCCCCCTGTACAGCCCCCCCGCTGTAGATTATTGATTATTGGTTATTGGTTATTGGTTATTGATTATTGGTTATTGGTTATTGATTATTGGTTATTGGTTATTGGTTATTGGTTATTGGTTATTGATGCTCTGTGCACGGCGCCACGCACGGAGCCCGCAGAACGGTTTAATAAAAAAAGGCACCGAGAGCGGAGGGCCCTGGCGGGGGGGGGGGGGTGGGGGGGGGGAGGGGCTGCGGCACCGACCCGGGCCAGGCACGGACCCGGGGGCTGCTCTGCCCCAGTGGGACCTGGTCTGATGAAGCCAGTGCCCACCCAGTGTCACCCAGTGCCCACCCAGTGTCACCCCATGTGACCCAGTGTCACCCAGTGCCCCCCCAGTGTCACCCAGTGTCACCCAGTGCCCATCCAGTGTCACCCAGTGTCACCCAGTGCCCATCCAGTGTCACCCAGTGTCACCCAGTGTCACCCAGTGCCCATCCAGTGTCACCCAGTGTTACCCAGTGCCCACCCAGTGTTACCCAGTGCCCATCCAGTGTCACCCAGTGCCCACCCAGTGTCACCCAGTGCCCACCCAGTGTCACCCGATGTCACCCAGTGTCACCCAGTGCCCACCCAGTGTTACCCAGTGCCCACCCAGTGTCACCCAGTGTCACCCAGTGCCCACCCAGTGTTACCCAGTGTCACCCAGTGTCACCCAGTGCCCACCCAGTGTCACCCAGTGTCACCCAGTGCCCACCCAGTGTCACCCAGTGTTACCCAGTGCCCACCCAGTGTCACCCAATGTCACCCAGTGCCCACCCAGTGTCACCCAGTGCCCACCCAGTGTTACCCAGTGCCCACCCATTGTCACCCAATGTCACCCAGTGTCACCCAGTGTCACCCAGTGCCCACCCAGTGTTACCCAGTGCCCACCCAGTGTCACCCAATGTCACCCAGTACCCACCCAGTGTTACCCAATGTCACCCAGTGCCCACCCAGTGTCACCCAGTGTTACCCAGTGCCCACCCAGTACCACCCAGTGTTACCCAGTGCCAGCCAGTGCTCACCCAATGTCACCGAATGTCCACACGGTGTCACCCAGTGTCACCTAGTGCCACTCAGTTCCCTCCCAGTGCCACCCAGTGCCCACCCAGTTCCCTCCCAGTGTTACTCTGTGCTACTCAGTGCCCACCCAGTGGCACCCAGTACCCACCCATTGTCACCCAGTGTTACCCAGTGTCACCCAGTTCCCTCCCAGTGCCCCCCAGGCTCAGCTGGGCTGGTTTGCCTGGTGTCAGGGTGCGCCTCAGAACCTCTTCAGTGGGAAAGGGGGGGTTACAGCTCAGGCTGTGCCATGGAGGGTGATCCCCAGAGCCAGTGTCCCTGCGGAGCAGAGTGCTGGTCCCAGGGGCCAGGAGCAGCCCCAGGACACAGGGAGCATGGGGGGGGGGTGGCATTGAGCACTGGGACCAGCACAGGAGGCCCCATGACCAGTGACCCCAGCTGCTTCAGTAAAAGCAGCCCGGTGACTGCGCAGCTCTGATGGCAAACCTGCTCCTGGCTGCGGCCACCGAGATGGGCACGAGAGGAGGCTTCAGAGCCACCACGAAGGGAAGAGCCAAGGGGATGGGTGCCTGAGGCCAGCCCTGACGGCTCCTGTGGCCTCATCCAGCCCCGGCAGGGTGAACCCTGAGCCTTCGGGCACAGGACTCCTGGGCCTGCGCTGCTCTGACAGCGGAGCCAGCACAAGGGACCGGGACCTGGGGGCCAGCAAGTGCCAAAGCTGCTGCCGGCCAGAGCCTTGGCAGGGACCAACCGGGGCCAGTGACAGCCCCTCGAGGGTGCGGGGACAGAATGAGCCCTGCAGCACCTGGGGTGCATCCAGCACCAGCAACCCCACAACAGCACCGCAGCCCATGGGGCTCAGCACTGCTGCACCCGCTGCTGGATGAAGCCATTGCCCTGCCCGGCAGAGGGAGGGGTCCTGCGGGGTGCAAGTGTTCAAACCCCACGCAGACGAGGCCTCAGTGCCATGGGGCAGTGGTGGCCTTGGCAGTGCTGGGGTAAGGTTGGACTGGATGAGCTTAAAGGGCTTTTCCACCATGGTTGATGCTGTGACTATGGAGGACTCCACCACCATCACCTGAGTTTTGAGCTTTTATTGATAGTTGGAATTTACAGCCTCGAACTGACAACACAGAGATGCAGAGGTTGGGTTTTTCTTCTTTTTCCTTTTTTTTTTTAATCTGTATTACAAAAAAATCCCAAAACCCAAAAATAACCAAAAGCCACCAGCATCAGACTGAATAGAAAAGTTCCTACAGCTGAGAGAGACCAAAAGTACAACTGGAATCACTCCAGGACCAAGGGGGAAAGGCAGTAATCTCAAATCTGTCCCTCGTATTTACAGACAGGGATGGAGCTCATGAGGACCCCGCTCAGCAGGTAGGGGCAGTCGGCATCATGGGAGTAAAGGCCCCCTCATGTCATTGCATTCCATCACCAACTCCATCTCCCGCCCTTCCCAGCTCAGAGGAGACGCCTCATGAAGCCAGAGTGGGATCCATGGAGGACCTGGGGACCCCTCCCTATCCCACAGCAGCCCCAGTGCCACCCTTGGCCGCTGCCACTGTCACTGGTGCTTATTGCTATGGAGTCATCACCCCATGGCCACCAGCACATGGGCTTGGCTTGGCCAAAGGCATCTACTGAGCGCCTGATGCTGTTCCTGCCCCTCCCAAGTGGATCCATTGGGAAGCTCGGGGGCTGCTTCCCAACCGGGCCCTCAGGACACGGAGAGCAGCCAAAGGGCATGTGCTGGGATCGTGTTGGGCACCCAGCACTGCCCAACCCAGCTCATCCCAACGCATCACCCCCACTGCACGCCTGCACCGCCGGATCCAGGGGCTCAGGAAGGTTTCACCGCACATCCCCACGGCCCAGCCTTGAGCTCTGCCCTGCTGTGACTCAGGGGCTGTGCAGCCCCCATGGGCTGAGCCCCAGAGGAGAGGCTGCAGCACAGAGCAGAGCCCCAGAGCGGGGCCCTCCCGGCCGGAGCTCTGCTCCCAGTGGAGCTCCTGCATGCACCAGCCTGTCCCCAGGCTCCAGCCAGCCCCGCTGCAGCCCAGCCCCTCCCAGGCCTCCTGCAGAGGAGCAGTTCTTGAACAGAAACAACCAGGTTGGCTCCCTTTGGGTTTAAAGAAGCGTTTGGGGACCAAAGGGATCGGGTGCCAAAGGGATCCAGTGCCAAAGGGGTCCGGTGCCAAAGCGATGCGGTGTCAAAGGGATCCAGTGCCAAAGGGATCCGGTGCCAGTACTGGGGTTTGTGGTGAAGGAAAAGGTTTAGAAAGCCGCAGCTCAGGAAAAGGCTCTGTAAAACCCCACACTGGAGCTGGAGCTGCTCAACCACAGCCACGGCCCCGGCCGGGCGGCTGCAAGAGGCAGAGACAGAATCGGACACAGAACAAGTTAAACCCCAGCAGCCTCCTTTGCCATGAGGAGACCCCAAGCAGGGACACCGAGAGCACCCCCCAGGGAAAGCAGCAGCCAGAATGAACCAGAATGAACCAGAATGAACCAGAATGAGCCAGAATTGACCAGGATTTCATCTTCCCAGCACCATGGCTGGGGAAGTGCTGCAGATCCAGGTTGGACACAGGGGCTTGGAGCAAGCTGCTCCAGTGGAAGGGGTCCCTGCCCGTGGCAGGGGTTGGAGCTGGAGGAGCTTTAAGGTCCCTTCCAACACAAACCATCCTGACCTTCTCAGCCCTCAGCCCCATGGAGTGAGCTCCAGCACATCCTACCCGTCCAGGCGCCATCCTGGTGTGCCCAGTACACACCTTTGTACTGATGCTGATGCCAGTTTCAAAGGTGCACACTTGCTCATCAACACAGGATGTTCTAATGTTCCCATTACCTCCCATTACACCAGTACCATGCTGCTGTTCAAGGTTGGAATAAGAGGGAGAAGCTTGTGGGCAGCTTCCAAAGCATTCCTCAGAGACTTCCCATTCAGAAAAAGCATAATTCAGAGGAGGGATATTTTCAGCTCAGAAGGGAAAAATATTTACATGCAAAATGAGGATTTAATTTAAATTACACTTTAAATAATAAAATATTTAATATTAAATATTAGCTCTATTTCAGCCCAAAATCGTGTGTCATCAGTTTCTAGGTGAGTTTAAGCACAATTTCCCCAAGACCTGAAGCAGAAACTCAATGAACAGTTTTCAGGTGGACACCAATGAAGCATGCTGAGCGGACAGGAGGACACACATCAGATTCACTGTTAGAGCTCCACGTTAGATGCTCTGCTGAGCTATCCCCCGTTATGTAATCCCCATCATCCCTTAGGGAAGGGAGCCCCATGGCGTTATCTCCATCATCCTTAAGGAGCCCCCATCTCATAATCTCCAT